GCGAAATTAGGTATTGAGACCACACCGAAAGTGTTTCAATAATTTGGAGTCCTTTTTCAATTTCAAAAGAGTCCTAACTAAACAGAAATGGATTGAAATAAAAGGTTAAAATTATCAAGTTAAGATACGAATTAAGTCAAACAATCACCTATTACCCAGCTTACCTACTTATTCAATAGCTTATAATGGCTCTGATCACGTACACAAGTTATGCTATACGCACGTGCGATATCAACAAAACCGTAAACATTTAGAAGGGGGCGAGGAGAGGAAGTGCGCCATGTTTCCGGTTTCAGTTTCATTACTGATATTGGTACGTAAGCTGCTTCGATTCAATTTCCTTGGCTGCTTCGGCTCACATTTCGAAGAAGCTGACGTTTATATAACGAGTCCATGCGGGATGCGCCTTACTCCGTATTACAAGTAGGTGAGGTTATTTACATAAAATTACTCCGAGGCGCTGCTGAACAAATTCGTCTCGAAAACATATTTATGATCAGCTTCTTTAGTTGTCAGTACCTACATACTTTGAAACCACCGCCAGACCCCAATTCATTGCTATTCTTTCCGAATACACAGTGAAGAGATAAACGTTTGATTTTCCCCTAAAAAATAATAGCGTCAATTGTACTTCAGTGTGCTTTCCTTCCACTTATATTAAACAACATGTAGCCTCCCGCTGGTTCGACATTGCGTTGTTGACGCCCTCAGCAGGACATGAGCTGAATAAAAATGTGGACATTATTTATTCTACCTCTGTTGGCTCGTAGGAGAACTGCCATCAAACCTTACCGAGCCAAAATTCGACGGCAAATAGAAAATATTGACGTAGGCAAAATGTTTTTTCGGCTCTAATAAAATAATTTTCATTTTAAGAGTTACTGCCATTTGCCAGTTCAGTTGCTACAGTATCTATCGAAGACAAATTAGTAACTGACAAGTTACCGTTAAAATGATGGCTTCTGTCTCACCAAATGTAGGCAATAAACATCTCTCAAATATTTTGGAACAGCTCTTTACCTTTATTAGAAAATTGCCTTCATGTTTCTGAAGGGAATGAGGGTTGACTTGAAAGGCTCGGCTGTAATTGCTATTTGCGTGTAAACTCCATTATTATAGGTCGCGTCGCATGTAACAAAGGGCTATTATGTCAGAGCACTCGGCTTCACAGATAAATCTAATACTCATATCAACTTAATACGGCGCCAAACTGCCAAATTGATTTCATATTTTAATGAAAAATTCCTGGTTTCTGCTCTTTATGAGGAAAAAGTACGTACGTAATAAAGAAATAACGAGGATTTTCTTATGAATCATAAGCTTAAATGAAAAGTTAATACAGCAGGCGAAATAAAAAAAAACGGTATGTGCTATAACTTATATATTTTCATAAATAAGTGTTTATTAACTTCAAAAAGTAGGAAAATAATTTCACAGATCGCATAAAAACGTATCCGCGTGAATATCAGGTGTCAAATATCAATCACGTGCCAACACCTCCACAACAATAAATAAAATAATAATAACTCGTGTGTTGCAATATCACACAGCACGTAAAAAGCAAGCAATAATTAAAAACCAACAGATAAAATTGAAAAGGTGGGTAAATACAATGTTTATATAGATAACCTTTAAATACTACACCACTAATTTAAAGTTAAAAGCTAAAAATAATTTGTTTCGTGCTTAAAAATAATCATCAGCTTCAGTCTGACCACTTGAATAAAATTGTATTTCATAATGGCAACAAAACTACAACTACGCAATAATAAATAATATTTTTTACACTATTCGACATACGATAAGTAAATGACAAAGATTATCATAAATCGATGTCTTACACAGTTGCCTATGATACGACAATCTTTGTCCCACCGTGTTTTCTTTGTATACGCCTAAAATGCATAAAAAATATATAGAAAATAATAGGTACGACCAAAGTGTAAATAAAGTAACTATTTGGTCAATTAGCTCTTCAAAGGTACTGCTTGCATAGATGTCGTGTATTTGTTAAAAGTTTTTGTTCGCGCCATCTATCGAGTTCATTGGGAACCAAGACGACCGCTAGGTATTTTCAAAACGCTATACAAAGCCGTTGTTCGGGAAACCTTGCTAGATAGAGATGAATAGTTGTCATCTCCATTCAAAATCGCCATATTAAAGATATGATGGGACACCTATTGCAGAAATAACAATAATGTGCAATTTTTGATCAAGGTAATAAGTCGACTTAGGCCTTATATGGAGACAACTCCTTAAACCAACTCTAACATGCAAGGCTGTAACCCAGTACCAGTAGATATTTAAGATACGAAGATAATAACGCGATATACATGTGACACACAGCCAACTGCACGTCCACAAAAGTATTGGCCTTAAAAAGCATCTTTATTACAAAGCGATAATGATCTTTTTTGTACTAGTGTGCAGTTGACCATACATCAAAAGCTCAGCAGGTCAAAAACCAATGCTTATTTAGTACTTATCGATAGACTTAACTGCCAATATCGGTGCATTATTGTAACAAACCTTACTTTATAACGTTATTGCTATCATGTAGTCTTAAATTGTTCCAATATACTTTATAACCACAGATTATATTAATTTCTGGTATTCCTTGTGAGTGGTACCCTAATTTATTAATTTAGGTGCTTGATATAAATTATCTATTTAAATTTTCTAAATATCTATCTCCACTGCATGACTATTTTTTAAATAGATATTTTATCTCAATCAGAACTATAGGCAGTAATTCGTACGTTGTCGTAGCTTCATAAACAACTATGTTAATTTGTTTAATATAATAATAATTAGTCTTTACCGCTTATTGGAAGAGTTTATATCTAACTCGTTCTATATTAGTATTGATCTTATATAGAGTTATATACTTCTATTTATTTGCGTGTTATTGCCAGGAACGGCGTTTTCAGCCGATCTATGGTACAGTACCTTAACTTTCCTACTGTGTTCGTACTTCTTAAGAATATAATTGCTATAATGTATTCTCTATTTTATGATTTGGCTAATGAACAACTTTACAAATTAACGTCTAGTAAAACTAAATAATATAAAAAGCGTTTCCGATATAATAATCGATTATATAATCAAGACACGATAGTATAACGTAATGACTTAATTTAAGAATAAATGAGCGTTTTATGGACAAAGATACAATCGAAAATATATTATATTAGTTCTAGATAATTTTATATTTTCTCAAAATCCAATTGGCACAGCCCTTGCAAGTATTTAATTTAAAAGCATCAATCATTTTAATTTGTTCATTGTATGAACATTATAGTCGAGTCTGTTTTCTCAATTAGCGTACATCGGACGCTTTCAATGGGCAGAATATACATCAACTGTTCAACAGAAATTCAACTTTTCTGTTTTGTAATTAGGTCAAAAATCTATTGAAGAAAGCCATTACCCACAGTGGGTAAGCACTAACAGTTCATAAGGCTAACTAGCCTTATAGGTACCTATAATGAGAGATCCCCGCGCCACTAATTGAGCAACAGACTTTCAAGAGTGATGAGAACCATGCCAACCACACACTGGCATCAACTAGAAGGCACAATCTTTTAGATTGACTTTCATTAGAAGTCACAGCCACAGCTGTTTAACATCTATGTTAAAAGACATTTTGACAAGTCATTTTTTGTCACACAACACCCAATGTGAATAAAATTGATGATAAAATGAAAGTGACTAGTATTTACATTACGTTAACAAGTTAATGGAGGCTACCATATTGTTGCGCAAATGTAGGAAAAAGTAATTTCGTCCGATCACAGCAGCTGTCACATATTGAACCTCCAATGGCGTGACAGTAGCTAATTCCCTATTGGAAGAAGAACGAGAGGTGCACACTAGCGTCATCTACAAAACAACAATACGGTAGGCCCCATTCCATGCACACAAAGGCATTTGTGTATCCAGTCTTCTTTATGTGAATAACAATACAATATTTTCATACGAATAACACTAAAACTTAACATTATTTCATTATAACACAACAAAACACATCTGTCGAATAATATTGATAAAATGTGAATAACAAAATGTTTATATAGAAACCTAACAAAATATCTTGCAAAACTGGTCATTTTGCGCTTTGTTTCAACTACACCTTAGAAAGCACAAGATGGCGATAACAGCGTTTTTCAACTTATTTAACTTCATCATCATCATCATCATCAACAGCCTATAAATGCCCACTGCTGAGCAAAGCCTCTTCTCACACGGAGAAGGTTAGAGCGTTAATCACCACGCTTGCTCAATGCGGGTTGGTGATTTCAAACTTATAATTAGAAATTATAAGTCCAGGTTTCCTCACGATGTTTTTCCTTCACCGTTTGTCAGTGGTGTCTAAATAATCTTAGAAAGTACATATAACTCGGAAAAAGTCACATTGGTACTTGCCGTTGGTAGGTTTCGAACCCGCACCCTCATGCATGAGAAGTGGGCGTCTTAAACCTCCGGGCCACCACGACATTATTAACTTATAAATAATATAATTAATAATGTAAAAAAACTTTAAACTATTTAAATAATAATCACCAGTTAAAATCACATTCATGGAGAATTTCTCCCACGGGAGAAATTCAAGATCAACTTCCATTCACAGTTGACAATTCCACATGAAGAAAAAGTAGTCCAATTGATTTACTCATTAAAAAATAAAAAGTCTCCCAAATTATTTCCCATATTAATAAAAAAAATCTTAACCCTGATTACAAGTAGAGTAGGTACTTTATCCGTACTAAGTATGAAAATAATAAAACTAATATACAAGTGTGGGAGAGCCATGCTTCGACACGAATAGGCCGGGTCGACCGGAGTGATACCACGGCTTCACAGAAAACCGACGTGAAACAACGTTGTGTTTCGTCACAATCCTCAAATTCCCAATTCCCAAAAAGCCGGTAACGCCTTGGTGTTTCGGGTTTCCATGGGCGGCGCCGATTGCTTACCATCAGGTGATCCATTTGCTCGTTTACCGGCTTATGACATAAAAAAACATAAAAAATACTTGTCATGTGGAACTAAATACTTTAAAAATATATTTTTCTCAGTTATGAGTCAAGCCTAACTAGTTCTTATTGTACATTATATAAAAGATGATGTCACATATACAGAACAAATGTTTATATTATCTTATCTTGCAAGAGTTTGTTTGTTTGTTTGTACGCACTAATCTCAGAAACTACTGGTCCGATTTGAAAAAATATGTTTGTGTTGGATAGTCTACTTATCGAGGAAGGCTTCAGGCTATAAATCCTCACACTACGATCAATAGGCGCCGAGCAGAGCGGGTGAAACCGCGCGAATGTAGCTAGTTTCAATAAAAAATAACACTTTCATGATTGAATATCAAAAACAATTGAAAGTGTCTTTTCAACATAAGTAGGTATTACAATCTGATAATTTCATATCAGCAAATATGCAAATACTTTATATTTATCTCTTGTAAATTGATTAAATGACAAGGTACCTACTTTATCTTCATGTGGCTTAGCTTTCTTAAAGTATTTGAAAATAATACATCACAACAAAAATAATATGGTTTCTTTGAAGCTCTAATTACCCCTCTTTTTACAATGGGTATAAAATAGAGCAATGAAAATAATTGCTCAGCAAACTTCAAGCATAATAATTGTGCAAGAGCTGATGACTCATTAATTAAACTCATACAAGTCTTAGCTATAAATAACATAGATACATTGTTAAACTTACAATAGTGAAGGATATCTCTGAAAGAAATTTAAATAAATCTTGCATCAATACTTCATCACTTCTTCAGTTCATTGGGCCTCCTGAAATAAATAAGTACAATTTTAGTTTTACAATCAATTTCTTTACTTTTTCTATTAGTAAAGAACAATATAGGATATGTTGAAATATAACAATATTTACCTCATAATCAAGTGGCATCATGCAACCATTACTTTGATTGTCCTTTCTATGGTAGTTCTGCACATAGGACAGCTCTCCATCTCCTTGCCAGCACATGGCTGGCAGCAACACATGTGACCACATGGTACAAAGACCACTTCACTCTTAGCATCCATGCAAATCACACATTCTGCTTCCAGCACTGTGTCATCAGATTGGCTTGTTGTGACTACCCCGGTACATTGCTGCTCCTCAGTCAGTTCTTCTGTGGGAGCACTTGGTGCACCAACAGGTGATGCCTCATAGTTGTGATTCTGACTCTTAGCTGCTACATACAAATGTATTGCTCTTATTATAGCATCTCTGTCAGTTGACAATGAGACACCACTCAACTTTAGTTCTTCTTTGGTGATGTTCAATAAGGACTCACCAGAAAACAAAAATTTAACCAAGAATGGCAAACAATGTATTACACCCTCTTGTAAAAGGTAATTAGCTAGAATGGGGTCCAAACTTTTTCCAATATCCAATAAAGTTCTTGGAGCAGAATCTATTAACTTTTGGTAATTCTTTAACCAAAAATCATTTGATTTATTAGTTTCACTATCCATTTCCTTTAAAGTTTCAACAAGTTGTTTTCGTCGTTTATTCTGTTGACCAAAAAGGTCATCTAATAAGTTAACCAATTGTATTCTCTGGTGAAGCAACTCATTATAATTATATGCTATTTGCAATCTTTTCTTTTCTTGTTCTATAACACTGAGCCGTGCCAAATGTGAAGAAATCAATGATATTTCCTGATTCAAGCTCCACGTTTTTGCATCAACCTTTTCTAGCAATGAAGCTACAATCGCCATTTGAATGTCCTGATCTTCTAATAGCTGTTCCACTAAAGCTGTGCGTGATTGGTCTTTGGCGTTTAATAGCTCAGTCAATTTTTCACTTACTTCTAAATCCTGCATAAGCATGCTTTGTTTTACATTATTCAGAGAATCTTCATAATATTTCTTGGAATGTCTCACTGCATAGTCTTCTTCGATGAGCATTTCCATTGCCCTTAATACATCAGCCTTTTTGATATTATCATAGTTTTGTCTGGTAATCTCAAGTAACCTGTCATGCTCAGCCTGCTCGTAGGCAAGTTGTTGTTGTATTATTTCTGGTTTTAAATAGTCAGATTGTATAAAGTTCTTGACTAAACATTCAATTTCTTTTTCATCTTCTTGTATTGCTTTTATGAGTTTTTGTCGGTCTATTTCTTTTACCATATGCACTTTAGCTATCTCATTATCTAACTCCATCTGTTCTTGTATAATGGTATTTAAAAACTTTTCTCTTTGTTCCTTGGCTGCCTTATGTAGTCTATTTTCTTGTTCAATAATGGCAGCCTCTTGTTCCTCCCATGTCAGTGTATTACGTCTAGCAAATGGATCCAGAACCATGGTAGGGGTTTGAACAGTCGGCATTTCCTGATCTATGGATATTGGAGGGCTGTAATCTATGTTCATTTTATCACATAAAAATTTCATAATAGCTGCAGTATCCTGTATGGCAATATCAGACGGAGGGAATACAAATTGTTCACCATCTATACATAGTGATGTAAGATTAGTAGCTAAACATAATTCTGGACAGAGTTCATATAAATCTTTATTCTCATTGAGGTTAAGTTTCCTTAAATTTTTTAGTTTACCTATGGCTGGTGTTAGGGTTTGAAGCTTATTCTTGGAGACATCTAATATCTGTAATGATTGCATATAGTGTATATTCTCAGGAAGGACTTTAATGTGGTTATCTTGAATGTACAGCTCAGTAAGGTTCACCAGATATCTAATATCACTGGGTAGTTGTACAAATCTATTACAACTAAGATTAATTACCTTAACAAGGTACAAATCTGACAATTGACCTCCTTCTTCTAATGAATGTAGACAATTAATATGCAAATACAAACGTTCTTTTCGGTATACCTTGCATATAGAATAAGTACCGGACGGCACTTGGCGGAGCTGGCACTCTGATAGATCAAAATCCGGTTCTGGTGATTCCCTGGCGATGTATAACTTCCTTTCCAGTTTTGCTCGAGCATCATTATCATTATTCTGTCTTCCAAACAACGACATTGTCGCTCGGTTGACGCACGACACAGCACAACCCATTAAACAATAAGTTTTATTTGTTAACAATCTTCACAACCGTCACCGCCTTTGATTTTTCATTGCAAAGGAATTGCTGTTTAATCTTAACTACAACGTATTATCAACATTTTATAGCTTTCATTTCTGTAATCGCAAATTTATTTATGACAACAAAATCAAAATAATACAATAGTAAATAATCAATCAGCAGTGAACGAACAAGAATGACTAATGAACGAGGTTCTTGTAATAATTTGACAGATGACAGAAGGTAACTTTGACACTTAACAGAAGCTTCATCCACTCCAATCAACGCATATGATAAAAATATTGGAGAAACGGAACGTACACTATAAAACAGTACATAATTTTACCCTGTACATAATTATTGTAATAAATTATACATTGGTTCATGCTCCTCATCAATAACTTGTAAAGTGAAAAAGAACATATATAATATTTTTATTCTAAGTAATTCTATATTATAAGTAATTCTTAGACAGCGGTCACAAAGTCGCGACTGTGCTATGCATACTGGAATAGGTAATTAGATTACTTTATTTCAGGTTAGTAAATTGTTTGTTAGCTACCTATATGAAATGAGTTTAAATAACTCTTTATTACGTTTTGCTTATTACTTAAGTATCCTAATATGCTATAGGTAATTATTATGAGTTAGGTAGGTGAAGGTGCAAGTTTGCAACAGTACAGCAAACCTTTCTTTAAACTTTTAAACACCAAGCGGTCACCGGTGACCGCAATCTATTGTTCTATAATTGTGTCTACAAAACCGGTACTCGACGAGTTAAATTACATGTCGATGTAGGTATATGCTTTCTTTTAAAAATACTTAGATGTTACTTTACTACACCTATCGTACCGTATTGCGATTCTTTTTTAAGTCAATAAGTTAAACATTTAGTAGTCAAGTATGTCATAACATAACATAATTATAATTATTAATCAACGTATCGATAGATAACCATGCAACACATAAGCGTGACTGGAAACTTAAAAACTGACTTTCGAACGAATTCGCATTTTTTTTTTAGGGGGGAAAATCATCGAATGTCTGCTCCCGCCTGGGTGAGGCGGGAGGGAGTGTCAGACTCTTACTGACTAAAAACCACCCCGTTCCTTCTCCTGCACGTCGAGCCGGAGCCCCGGTTACCCGTTAGGTTCTCCGCGACTCCGAATCGGCATCGGCCCTGTTGGGCCCCATCTTTGGTGGTCTGATGGCTCTTTAAAGCGCGAGCGGAACGCGACTCGGGTCTGTTTCTGGTCGGACGGGGAGCCACCTATGCTCGCCGTCCGCAGGCCTGCGCTTACGGTGGCCGGAGATCGTCCAGCGATCCCCGACGCCCGGTGTGTCCTTCGCGATGGCTGCGTTGCGAGGAGGCAGCGCTTCGCTGCCTCACGCGTCCCGCCTCCTCCTTAGCTAGCATAACTGCTTCGCAAAAAGAGGAGACGGCATCCCAGCTCCGCATCATGACCCGCACTAGGCCCGGACGCGAGAGGTCGCCATCGCCGAACGAATTCGCATAGAAATTGATTTTTTAATTTTTACAGATTTTTTTTATAAAATACCTACGAGTTATTTATTAATATAAGTGGGTATGTATGTACCTTCCTACATAAAATTATTATAAACGTGTCATGACAAAAAGAATTTTAGTGATATGATTACCTACACTTTCGAATATATGGATTAGACTAAGACTGAGGGTTAGCCACAAAATGGCGTAGGTGACCTATTTATGTATAACCTACATAAATAGGTATTGACTATTCTCGATTAACACTTTGATATCTACGATTTTTTAGAGAAAAATGTGTTTACAACCGAGAATTTTTAATCCAATTATTAATTTCTTTTGCGTTATAAATGCAGGTCAATCTTTATGTGCGATTTCATGGAACCTTGCTAAGTTACTGAAGTGCGAAGGGTAGGTCGCCCTTAACTTTAGCAACCTCAGCGTAAAGATATTATGTATGTGATACATTATATAGGATAACATCGTAGGTAGGTAGTTTTGTTTTTTTATTGACTTGAACATTAGGTACATTTATTTAATAACAATAACACTGTACAAATTATTAACAACTTATTGCATCTACTTAAGATATAAATACACCTAATATTAACTATTGACATGGATAAAGTTGGTGTATAATTTATTTATTCTAGGTCCTCTACCTATTCTCATGACTGAAATCTTTACTATACCAATTTTTTGCCACATGTTCTGGAACGCGATATATCGAATAATCATGATTCTTTCTTTTTGGAATTGAAGGACTATTCACGCTTTCTTTCTCATCTCCAGCATATCCGAGTCCTTCAGAGCTGTCTTTAGAATAATCGTGATACTCATCATTTGGATAGTATTTAACGTATTTTTGATACCATTCATCTTCAGTATCGTGTGGTTTTTCATCCTTGAGCATTTTTGGAAATTCGATGTTTGGATAACCCTTTCTGGCTTGATAATCTTCGGGAGATTCAAAACCTGACGTAGTAACATAATTATCTTTATAATTTTTATACCATGGTAATGAATGGTTTTCTTGATCAGGTACAATTTTCATATCATCTTTCATCTCATTTTTTTCTTTGATGTTATATTCGTCACCATCGACTATTTTTGAAGTTATGGATTTTTCAGAATTAAAATCGTACATATTATTTATAAATTTGACAGCAGCATTCATTTCATCTCTCTCTGGCTTGCTTGTTTGAGATTGCACGGGGGACACAAGTTTATCCCTCTCAGCTTTAAGTTGCAAAGGGTTGTAATGATCAGTATACTGACTATTTGTTTTATAAATACTTAGATCTGGCGTTTGAGAAGGGTACACGTGCAATCTTATTATTTTTGAAAGTCTATCAAATGCATCAATTAAATCTGCATCAGTTTCCTCTGCTTCTGATTGACTAGTGTGACCTTCAAGTACAGGGACGTCTACGGCCGTTTCAGAATTACTTAACTGCTTATTTACAGGTTTTACTCCTGCAATATTTTTATGTTTATTCTGCCCCTCTTTTTCAGTCTGTTCTGTTTGTACTTGTAACTCATGGCCATGGTCCAAATGTGCTGGTATATGAACATCTCTTGCAGTCATTGGTTCAGGCGGATTGTAGGAATATGCTATTTCTTTTCCAATACGAAAACCTTCGTTTTCCGACGTCGACAGGATTTGCGGCTCTTTACTAAAATAATCAAATACATGAAAACTTGGTACGTCAGGTAACTTATAAGTTTCGGCAGCTGGTAATATTTTGAAAACCACGGCTTTACCTTGGTGATAGCCAAGTCCTTGTCCATTAAATGGTTTGTTCTTGCCTTTCTTTTTTTTACTTTCCGTCTTTTTGGTAACATTTTCATCTGCTTGGCCGCTATCTGATTCAGCGTCACAATACATTTTATTCAGTTTTTGTACATCTTTATCTGATAGTCCAATTCTTTGTCCGATTTGAGCACCAACCTGAAATTGAAATTGATTCTTGACAAAAACTTACCTATTTACTAATCCTACTTATCTCAGATTACTTTCACAATGAAATAAATGTTAGGAATTTTACGACCTTGGGTAATGTAGGAATCGATTACTACACATTCTACGCACAATAATTACTTGTTAACACGCACCTTAGAGATTTTTAATACCACAACATATATTTTTTTTAATTGCCCCTTTCCAATTTTATTCATATTACCTACGTACATACAGCGTAAAGGCAAAGTTTAAGGAAAAACTTCTGTCACCTGTTTTGGAACAATCGTGTCCTGGCCATTAACGGAGAAAGCTCGTCGGCTGTAATGCAGGACACTGTCATAGTCGTAACCCACGCCAAAATCTGACACGGAGAACGAGTTGTATTTGCGAAAGTTGTGTCTCGCCGCTGGAAACATACAAAATATCGTCTCAGAAACGAACACTATTTGGACGATTGATTTCTCGAGTACAAAAATATACCGACTTAAGTTTGAGTTAACATACAAAGAAACTTTCAATAGAAATCGAATTTACTTCACACCGAACGTTTATTGCTTAGACAGGTTGGCTAATTGATATTCGCATTGTGTAGCGTTCGCGACAGGCTGTTGTGCCTACTGGTCGTTAACATCATCTATCTATCGAACAAAAAGTGTAAATGTTTATAAACTGTATATGGGTGAATAGTTTATGTATATTCTGTTTCTTACATTGAAGTACGTTGGGCCAAACAATATCAACATAATCGTCTCTGTCTGGACTACTTTGCATGTGATAAAAGCCAAGAGTGTGCAGCAATTCATGGACAACCGTCCCGTGACGGAAGCAACCGCGTCCGACAGGATGCCGACCCGACAAGTTTAACACTTGATAACCGCCTTGGTAGCCCACTTGAGAAAAACAACCTCTGCGACTACCCTGTAACAGAAATATGATTATGTTTGAACATGTATAGGGACTTTTTTAAAGTTAGCAACTCTCTTTTAGGTGTCATTCCCTTCACTGATTGTTGTTGCAAAAGCTTAGATGTTAAAATTATTTTGAAATAACTATAAAGTACCTGTATGACAACGGCATCACGGTCTCCTTTTCTATATGGACGGAACTTGACACAAGATGCCCGTGCAAGATCCTCTATTCCATTTTGAATTGCTTGTACTTGGTCGCTAGCTGCAAAGCATTCAATTCCATTACTAATGCTGTTTAATTGAATATAATGATCGGGGTAGTTTTTTGGTTACTCTATAATTTATATGAATCGTTAAACAAACAAAATACTTACTGAAATGTTCCACTTGAATATAAACAATGACTTCATTGTTGGGCCATCTCTTAGTTCCATCACTAATGCCATTTCTGGCTAGGCCCTCCGCTACATCTTCAACTATAAGACGCCGCTGACGCTCGTTTAGGATCAGGTCACCCTCAAACTTGCCACTTTCTTCCCAAGCATGATCAGACACAACCTCATCATCGTCATAGTCCACATCAGGATCAGCGCCTTCTGTGAAATGCCATATTGCGATAAACAACACCATTAATTAATTTAATTCAAATATATCTACACACATACTCCACATTTTTATAATTTCTAGCAAGTCTAATTCGAACAAAATTACCACTACATCTAAACTGCGTATTAGAAACAACGGGAAAATATTTTGGCCACTTTCGTTTTCAATTGTATGTGTTACCTATATCTACTAAACTTAAATTTAATCGTTTTCTTAAAAATAGATACTCCTATGAAAACTGTCAACAATACTTAGTTATTTGTAATTTTAATAAAAATGTATTTACATTTTTACGAACTAAGTCTTTTAATAAACTTCGCCCCTACCATAAGCGTATAGTGGTAAACTTAATTCGCGTGTCAATCGTAACGTTACATCTAAGTACACGATTTAGTAACGTCCATAAGCTGCACGTAAGGTTTACTTTACTTTAGCTGTTTACATAGTAAAAAAAATGTATGTAAAACTTTAAATCACTTACTTTTTAGTGTAGGGCTGAGCTGTGATGTCTTCTTAAGGTACTCCGCAAAATCCTCCAATTCATGATATGTCATCGCCAAACACTTGACAGCAAATACAGTTAATAGAACCACCGATAACTTTGTGTGTCCCATGATAACTACAAAATATTGGTCTGACTTCGTTTAATATTCATAAATGCATGCGATATTGATTTCGCTTTTTTAAAAACTCAACTCACTCGGTGTATCGGAAGAAGTGTGTCATATTAACGGTATTCTATGTTTTATAATAACATTTTTTCTTCTGATTTATGCAAATGAATTTATTCCACTGGTGGTGTACTCCAGTGCCGCGTGATTTTTTGTGTTGGACAAAACCCGCCGGGGTGGGGCGAAGTTTAATATAGCTTCGGATACGACCATTTCACAAGGTGTTAGGCCGCAACTGTGGCGGCGACGGCGAAGCTTGCGTCAGCGCAGGTGCTGGTGACAGCGACTGCACTCCACGCCACCACCCATAACTCGTGCAACACCGAGTTGCTACATTTACTGGCTCCAGTTATTCTAACGTTTACGTCCTCCAACTATAACACCAACTTGTCATTTTTGTAATTGAATGGGCGAAATAGTAAAGGGAAAGCAATAGCTGCTGACCGTTCCGGTGAAATAAATATAGAAATGAAATCGTATAAACTAAACTAAGTGTTTGTTGTACCAATATTTGTAATAGCGACCAGTATCCACATATGGTAAATAGGAAAATGTACATATGCAAAGAATAAAAGCTTTCATACCTTTTCTCTATATTCTATTCCCTATCGTATTTTTATATGATGAAAGTGAAGTAATGTAAAATCTCATGATTTCATAACATCTAATCAAACTACTATGCCGAAAGGATAGATGGATATACGATTACTCCATTCTGGATGACCACCTCTAATTCACAACCACCTCAAAACATCGTTTACAATGCCTAGGAACATATGTTACATATGTACATACTTACCCTAAATTTGTTAAATTGAAACAATTAAATTAAACGATGCTAAAAAAGTAGTTCTGTTTCGCTGCACTTCTGGTTCATTAGACATGGTTTTTTTTAATTACATTAATTATTAGGTATCTATCCAATCGCAGAGTTTTTACTACCTCTATTACGGCAATTTCATCCAAGCAAAACAATAAACATTATTAGTTGATACAGATTACAAATTATACAATTGAAATAAAACTAAGTATTATTATCATTCTTGCAAAGTATTCTGCAATCTTCAATGCCATTGCCAGATGAAAACGCGTATCATTTCAAGAATGCAAAAAATATCTGATGTTTTATTTTTGTCCTTGTATAAAATGGGGTCGATGTCGTAAAGAAAATTGACCGTGACTATGACTACTAGGTAATTACGATAAATAACTAAGACGCTTTAATGTTATTAGACATAAATCAATACCTATCTTAACGATGGCAGTCCGCGTTAGTGTTCCTAAAACAGACCTCTTTAATCATCAATGCGACCATTCTATTAGTGTCGTTATATGACTACGAGTTAACTTCTATACCTAGTTTTACATATTTTCATTATTTCCTTTTTTATTATTTACTGATCTACAATAGAACGCCCGACGACAACGACATTGCGTTGTAAGTGAACCTATTGTTTGAGTCAAATCTAGTCAAATTTTGCAAGTGACTCTTGTGTAGGTACTACATTGCCAAATTCTATAAACCAGTTTTTATTAACTTTATGAATACAATAGGTAAACTAATAAAAGCTATTTATTACGAGGTAGTGTAGGTATCAACAAGTAAATAGATACTTTATGTAATCATACGTTTTATTTCACACTTCAGAATTAACTGCGACGTAACATTTTCTTATTTAGGTTTATTACTAACTTTATTTGTAAATCACAGACACTTTCTCGTCAATATTCTCAATCAAAGAACTTCCTCATCGTCGGTTTCTTTACAATACGTTTTGTTTAGTTTTAATAATTATGTCACCATAAGAAAGTCCTATCCTCTGATCAATAGTGACAATTTCCTGTTATTTATAAAGTTGCAGGGAGTAGTAGGAGTCTGACACTCCCTCTCGCCTAGTCCATGGTGCGATAAGACATTTGAGGGTTATCTCCCTCAAAAAAGGGTATATGTCGGGGTACTTATATGTGAGAAATCCAAGCTACAGCATCTCGTGTACCACGCTACCGCGTTTAAGGCAGCCCGTTGCTAGGGTACGAGTCGCATAATGATTTTAGATGATCGATTGTGATGTCCCGTTGTAATGTAGGTATAATAGGAACAAGCTTTAAAAATTGTAACTAAAATATTATCTAGAGGTACAATTTTCAATGGGTAGAGCGGTGCGGTGCCTATGTACTTAACTGTGTCTGTCGCCGACCATAGGTACAACGTAGCTTGTGTAGTTAGCATTTTAGAAAAGAAAGAAAAGAAAAAGAAAGAAAATATAACTTTACGCCAAAAAACAAGTGACATGTACAAAAAAGTCATTGTATTAGTAGGTACTGATGAATACATGTTCATGTCCCAAGGCTGCCGCGAATTGGGACCAGTTCAGTTTAGAGCGTCTCTTGTAATTTGTTTCAATTAACACATCCCAATTAGGTACCCTTTTTTGAGGGGGAAAATCATTGAATGACTTCTCCCGCCCGGGTGAGGCGAGAGGAAGTGTCAGACTCTTACTGACTAAGGAACGGGGTGGTTACCCCGTTCCTACTCCTGCACTTTAAACCGGAGCCCCGGTAACCCGTTAAGTACTCCTCGGCTCCGTATCGGCATCAGCCCTACAGGGCCCGTCTGTGGTGGTCTGATGGCTCATTGAGGCGCACGCGGATCGCGACGCGCCGTACGTTCGGGTCTAGTTCTGGTCGGGCGGGGGAGTCACCCGTGCCGTCAGCAGGCCCGTGCTTAAGGTGGCCGAAGATCGTAAAGTGCGACGAAGCAGAAGAAATGTAGCTAAAAAGTTCTTTCTGCAATGTTATGTAGTCTCACCTATCAGTATAGATAATAATAGTTAGGTTGTTTCATAAGCTAGTAAACATAGCTCTATTGCGATAGTAAAATCATGTAGGTAATGCCCGCCCATCAATGCGGTAATCGAACTACCTCCACATTGCTCAACTACAACCGAGCAGTTGATTACGCCTGTTGTTAATCAGCATAATTATTTATTATCGTTTATCTTTATTCCTCAACTGTTTGAAAATATAGGGATTATCTCATATCTGCATCTACACTGTTGACTTGTAACTCAACGTATTCCTCTCGGGAGGTGATAATATAACTAATTTCCTATAAATTTGCCCTGAAGTTCTTAGTCTAAAAGTGACTAGTATCTGAAATATTCAACATTTTTGGTTTAGGTCGAAAATCCCGAACTAACTACAAATACATAAGTAAATAAAAAACTATGGTTTGATTTAAGTTGCTTAAGTTTTTATCAGATGTCAAAACATCAATTAATTCTGGTAAACGAGCAGACGGATCACCTGGTAAGCGGTAAGCAATCGGCGTCGCCCATGGACATCTGGAACACCAGAGGCGTTACAAGTGCTTTATCGGCCTTTTGGGGATTAGGAGCAAACTCCTTCATTCATTTGATTGATTGATTGATTTACCAATCCCTGATTCAGGGATTGGGGAGATTGGAAAAGGGGGGGAGGTTATTGGGCGTCCGGTAACCTCACTCACATGGCGAAATACAACACAAGAGTTGCTTCACGTCGGTTTTCTGTGAGACCGTGGTATCACTCCGGTCGAGCTGGTCCATTCGTGCTGAAGCATGGCTTTCCCACACTTGAATTCACACAGATGATCGGATGTGGAAAAACTGATGCAGAATAATATTATAAACAAAAAATACATATATAGGGCCTTATATTAAATACACAGTCTGAACTCCGAACTGAGTTTTCCGTAAAGGAACCATTGAAAATCCTATGTATTACTAGATAGTGCAGGTACTCCGCACCGTCTAAAGGTCATAACACACTTAACAACTTAACAAGTACAGCTCCGACTGTGCACACAAGCATAGCTCTGGCACGGCGGTTTTTACTTTGAAAACCATACAAAAAGATTGTAAGCGCGCTTACAGCTTTTACATATAAATATATCATACGACATACGATTTAAAGTTTATTTACCATTTAATTGCTGGGTTGGAGTTGGAGCCGTGCCGGAGCCATGCCGGTTAAGTGTGCTATGATCTTAATCTCCACTACATCAACAAATAAATGGATACGTTTAATTATTTAATAACACGTTTTATTTCACACTTCACAATTAACTACATCGTAAAAATTTCTTAGGTATTTGGGATTTATGATTTATTTCATTCGTCACTTACAGACTCGTCGACACTTAAAATGAACGTATCTTCCTCGTCGTCAGTTTTATTCTTTAGACAATACATTCTGTTTAGTTTCATTATATCGCCATGAGATAGTCCAACCCTTTGACCAATAGTCACATTTTCCTGTAAATTATAAAAGTGCGGGCCTGATAAGTTTAACTCGTCGAGTACCGGTTTTGTAGACACAATTATAGAACAATAGGTTACGGTCACCGGTGACCGCTTGGTGTTTGACAGTTTAATAAGTATTGACTCTCTTCTCCCTGTATCATTTTGTAGACAATTCCGGGAAATCCTAATAATCCGTAATTTGGGCGGAAATGTGGGGTTCCGTGGAATACGTACACAATCTATGTATCTATCTGTAAGTACATAATTAGAATAAAACTGTAGAAGTGTAAATTATGTACATTGAAAATATTAAAAAAAATAAATAGCAGGGAGGTAGTTTTACTAGACAGTCTCTCTGTATGTTCACGCATCACGCAAAAACTACCGATGAAACTTGGTACGGTTATCATTTAATATCCTGGACACAAAAGACCTGGGAACCAAGACAGTTACTCATGTCCCTGGGACGCACCTGACTTCAATGTTCCGGTGTTTTCATGGTTGTATCTACTGTAGATCCTGGCTTACAGGAGTTGCAGCGGTTTTGTAGGTTGTGGCGGGCTTGTCCCATAAAGAAAAAATCCTGGACACAACACGTTTTATCCCAAAAAAGTACATAAGTACACAACAAAACGACTAACTTAATTGTGCGGCTGAATCCCTAGACATAGTTACTGTACCAAACGCAATGATAAGTTTGTCGAATGTTAGGTTGCCCGCAGTCGACTTTACGCTGTAACTGTAGGTCTGATGGTTCAAATTAGCTTCAACCGATATTATAAATGTGAAAATATGTGAGTTTGTGTGATGTTTGTTACAAAGTCACATAAACGGCTGAAGGGACCGGAATGAAATCTGGAATAGTGATGTATTATGAACTGGAGTAATATATGTATAGGCTACTTTTTTGCCCAGAGAACGTAAGCAAAGCCAGATGCTAATAATATATAAAGTCACCTAGAGGGAAGTCCCGTAACGCCGGACGGCACCTAACGCCGGACACTTGTATTATCTCGATAACTGATAACACGAGCGATTCAATTTTAATTAAAAATCTTAGGAGTCTGCCACTGGGAGACTTCCCCCTAAAAATTGAATCGCTCGCGTTATTAGTTATCGAGATAATACAAGTGTCCGGCGTTAGGTGCCGTCCGGCGTTAAGGGACTTCCCCTATAGGTATCATATAGATAATAATATATGTGTGTAATACTTTCCCAAATGAAATAACGTTTAAATAATCTGAAGAGAAAGAGGTAGGTAGATATATTAGGTGTGTAGTTTTTACCTTTCGTGGGATAATGGTATCGCTTCCATTTGTAGAAAATGCCTTCCCCGAGTAGTGCATTACACTGTTGTAATCATACGGTACTCCCAAATTAGTGATAGAGTCATTGTCGTATTTTAAGAAATTATTTACGTATTCTGTAAGCATATTCAAATTACAATATCACTCTAAATTTATGTACTTATACAAGATGTTGTTTTAAAGCCGCGTCATTTTCTAGGAAGTAACTCTGCTATCGATTCTGAGTCCGAATCAAAAAAAAATATAAATAAATATTTTTCATTTTCCTATAAATTACAGAAATCCGTAAGTGCGAACTACATGCCGCCGCCGTCTTGTAACTTTATAACGCGACTCAACACACACAAACTCAAACACGTAATTGATATTATTCCTAATTCCATAAAACTCCAATAAGAAACATTGCTATCGCTTATTCTGAAATACTGTCGAACTTGAACGATTTATTATAGCCGTATTTATAACTCTTGGCTCAAAATTTTCTCTTACACTGAACCTTTATGACTTCTGTGACATGGCCCCGAGAAATGTCACGGTTTCTAAACGACACCTTGTATACAACTTGTTGAAAAAAAATCTAAATAGTTTTAATGTCAGGCAGAAAGTAATTAAAGCAATTAAAGCTTGCAGTTTTTGCGGGCTACCACCACACTCACCAGGTTGTATATTGTCCCATACAACAGTTACATAATCATCTCTATCATGAGTACTCTGCATGTGACGGAATCCAAGAGTATGCAGCAACTCGTGTACCAGGGAACCGTGTCTGAAGCAACCCGGGGCTAAAAATATGAATTGGTCCTCATCGTCACCAGGTGGTACATATCCCACAGTTGAAGAACATCCATCATTTGAACCCTAAAAACAAAGCAACTTTAAGGCTCCAACCGCGTCATATTTTTATTAAGTTTACATTTAGTTATTACAATTAATACAAAAAGTATCATTAGTATAGGCTTATTACAATAAACATCGCGCGATTTCAATTGCACTTTTCACAGATTTCGATAGCAATTTTAATAAAATTGTGCCATCATCTTAATATAGGTATATAAATCTCGTGTCACAATGTTTGTCCTAAATGGACTCCTAAACCACTTAACCGATTATAATAAAATTAGCACGCCATGTGCAGTTCGATCCAACTTGAGAGATAGGATAGTCTATTTTTCATTAGGGTACAGTAGAATAGGGTAGAATTCGCCGGGTCAGCTAGTTGGATTATAGGCAAAAATGTATGGGCGACGCATCCACGTCCGCCACAGCTCTAACTAAATCTGTTTGAAAGGTATCATACCCAAAATCATATCATATATAGGTATCATAAAGGTACGATGCCAAAACTTATCAAATTATGTCCCGGAGTTCTCTGTATATTACCACTAGCTTTTACCTGCGGATTCGCTCGCGTCACATAAAGATAAAAAGTAGCCTATGTGACATATACACACAGCGCCATCTATACCAATACTTTTGTTTTCCCTCGGGAATATCACATTTTTCCGGGATAAAAAATACCCTATTATTCAATCCAGACTTCTAACTTTACGTCTGCAAAAATTCAAAGCAATCGGTTTAGTAGTTACGGCGTGAAAGCGGAATAAACAAACAAACTCACTTTCCAATTTATAATATTAGTAAGGATAGTAAGGGTGTTCTTGCTAGGTTGAGCTGTAAGTTTGTTACATGTACTTTTTATTGAAAGTCATCACAGTTTATTATGCTCATATCATCAAATACTTGAGGATTTCCATTTATTATATGGGCAAAACAAAAATATATGGGCCGCGCACCCGCGTCTGTCAAACCTCAGACTACTTCTGTTTGGAAGGTATCATACCCATGGTTCACTGTGCCAAAGCGCAACAAATTCTGTTCCGGGGTTCTTTGGACATTAACTAATATGTTTTTGTTAGGAGAAGCCGGAAGTTCTAAGCCACAGATCTGACTACTTCTTATTGAAAGGTATCATACCCATGGTTCAAATTTCATGTGCCAAAGATACTGACAATCTATCCAGGGTCAATAAGCCATGCCTCTGTTTCGTTATTGTTACTGTTCTCTATTCGTTGGTCCCATCCCATCTGGTAGCTCTCTCATGTTGGGAATCTAATGGGTAACTTATACTTCTGTAGACTAGTACAACTTGATGTGCCATTTAATACATATGTGTGATCCATATCTATACTAGCCTATACTAATATTATAAAGAGGAAAGATTTGTAACCTATTTTTGTATGTTTGTAATTAATAGGCTCAAAAAGTACTGGGCCGATTTAAAAAATTCTTTCACCAATAGAATGCTACATTCTTCCAATTTGACATAGGCTACATTTCATTTTGAAAAAAATTAGGGATCCTTGGTGAACAATGTAACCGAAGGTGTAGAAAAATGAGTCTTAAAATGTCTTTCGTCGAATGCGCTGCCGAAACTATTAGCGATAGAACAAAATAATGTACAACAATATTGAAGAACATCATAATGTCTACAAATAACTCCGCGGTAGCATATGTCCAACTATTGTAGTTATGTCACTACAACAATACAAATTTCCAAAAATAAATACCTAATTGTCTACCCCGTGCGAAGCCGGGACGGACTGCTAGTTGTGTAATAAAGCTGAACTATAAGTAGGTATTGATTGGGTACATACATTACATACATACCTTAATATAGAGTATTAAAGAAATATATTTACTTGTATAACGACTGCATGTTCGTCTTCGCTTGTTCTGGGTCGGAATATTAAACACGAATGATTCTCTATTTCAGCTATAGCATTCATAATTTTAGACATTTGTTTTTCATCTGTGGTAGAGAATAACATTATTAAAAAGGATTATGTTCTTAGAAATTTAAAAATAAAACTAATAACATAGGTACCTACATACTTACCTACTTTGTTTATGTAGGTAGACTATATAGATAAACACAAAGACAAGGCAATCATGGGATTAATCATCACTACATAGTATAAAACAAAGTTGCTTTCTCTGTCCCTTTGTCCCTTTGTATGCTTAAATCTTTTAAAATACGCAACGGATTTTGATGCGGTTTTAGTAGATAGAGTGATTCTTAAGGAAGGTTTATATGTATAATACTGAATAATACATGCATAATATAGTAGAGAAATACAGATAAATTTAGAGGTTTCTAATGTGATGTCGTATATCAGCACGTTCTTTTTGCGCTTATATTACAAACGCTGGCTGTACTAGGGTCTATATCTTATGTCATTGGTCTATCTCGTACGCGAGATAGACCAAAATAATGTACTACAGTCAGTATTGACCACCGTAAAAAGTTCAACAAAAAAGTCCGCGATGGTATATGTCTATCCATTAGGGATAACCCACCATAACCATTTTTATCCTTAACTATCAATGGTTATTTACGAAGTGATTTTAAACAATACAGCATAAATCCTTGTCCAATTAAGTAAATTGTGCATTTATCATGCCTTTTACAGCATCTAATTTAAGTGAATATTTCCGAAGATATTACTTTAAAATGCAGGGACGTATTTGTTGCGGCGTTGATGGCCGCGTTTCGTCCTAGAGCACTTCATGACTTGCAACGATCGCACTTGTTTATCGGAGCTTTCTAGCGAGGAAAATATCAATATAAATCATGTTTGTATTGTCTAATGACAAAATAGCTGTTGAACGTGGTGTATAAGAACATTTTGTAGTAGGTATATTTACATAAGTATTGCACCCGTGCGAAGCCGGGGCGGGTCGCTAGTTATGGACAAAATGTTATGGTAATAAATTACTTTTATTTTCACTAAGATTTCAGAAGTAAGTCAGTAAGAACGATGAAATTTTTAAACATAGTTTTGTTAGTTGAATGTTTTTAGTAAATGTAACGCGATCAATGTCAATTGCATAGGTAGAGGTAAAACTGCAGCGTTGACTAGTTTAGAAGAAGTCCGACCAGATGAAATGAATGATAGAGTTGTTAGCTACTCTGTTGCAGACATGGTAGAATAACTAAACCTAGTAACGCTGCTAGATGGTGACCAAACGCTCTTATTAAATAAAAACCTTAATAAAATGTATTAATTTTAAAAAATCTAGGTAAAATATATTCAAAAAGTTAAGTACACGTTACATACCAAAGTCTTCTTCGTTGATGTGATACACGACGGTGTGGTTCGGCCAGCGTTGATTTTCGTCGACTAGACCATTGCGAGCGTAACTATTGTTTAATGCTTGTTGTTGAGAGACCGACAGCACCATGTCTCCCTCGAAATATTTTCCATATTCTCCTACATCATCTACATAACAGATAGAATGGTAACGACTGATATATGTATATACAGTATCTATATCTTATATATTATATATTTATATATAGTTAGGGATGACCAATACTCCATCTTGAACTTACTATAAAAATCATCGGCCATTTTGTCAACTGTCATTCGGAGCAGGAAAATCGGTCAAGTTCTGTGAGACCTATATATACTGGTTGTAAAACGACCAGTAGGGTCGTAGAATGGGATCTGGAGGCGAAGGTTCTCGCGCGCGCGGAGGCACGTCGCCGGGGCGAAACTCCACTGTCGCGCCAGATAATTGCGTGGCGGGAAGAGCTCCGGCGTGATCTCATGGCGGAATGGCAGCAACGACTGTCGCAACCGAGGGCTGGGCTCGCTGCCATTGCAGCGGTAAGTAACCTCTTTGAGGAGTGACTTGAGAGACGCTATGGCGTCCTCACCTACCGCCTAAGTTTCGGGAGATTCCTGTGTCTGATGGGGCGGGAGGAAACGCCCGGGTGTCATCACTGCGAGGACCGCCCTGAGGGCACGGTGGAACACACTATTGCGGAATGCCCTGCGTGGGCTGAGTACCGCCGTGCCCTCAGGGAAGTGATCGGCGATGACGACCTCTCGCGTCCAGGCCTAGTGCAAGTCATGATGCGGAGCGAGGGGGACTGGAATGCCGTCTCCTCCTTTTGCGAAGCAGTTATGCTAGCTAAGGAGGAGGAGGGACGCGTGAGGCAGCGAAGCGCTGCCTCCTCGCAACCCAGCCATCGCGAAGGACACACCGGGCGGCGGGGATCGCGGGACGATCTTCGGCCACCGTAAGCGCGGGCCTGCGGACGGCGAGCATAGGTGGCTCCCCGTCCGACCAGAAACAGACCCGAGCGTACGGAGCGTCGCGTTCCGCGCGCGCCTCAAAGAACCATCAGACCATCACAGATGGGGCCCAACTGGGTCGATGCCGATTCGGAGTCGCGGAGAACCTAACGGGTTACCGGGGCTCCGGCTCGATGTGCAGGAGAAGGAACGGGGTGGTTTTTAGTCAGTAAGAGTCTGACACTCCCTCCCGCCTCACCCAAGGGGAGAATGATCATCGAATGACTTCTCCCGCCTGGGTGAGGTGGAAGGGAGTGTCAGAGGGGCACTAAGACAGGATATCCTTAAATTCGTATGGGAACGGTAAAAACGAGAATTACCTCAGAGGTTAAGCATTGCCATACAACGTGGCAATGCTTAACAGGGTACTTTCCATTAGAGATGCACCGAATATTCGATTACTATCCGGTATCCGGCTTATCCGGCCGTTATTTATTATCCGGCCGGATGCCGAATAGAACTGAGTACTGCATTTTTTAGAGAACGCAATTTTTATTTTGGGTCACGTGTGGGTAACCATGGAAGCTTAACCTCTAGTTTTCGAAGTCACCAGTTCACCACCCTTGTCCCCGGCCGCCATCTAATGACCAGTTCATGGTCTCGGTTTATATGATCTTTCCATATATGTAACAGCCGGTTTATCTTCGAAAATTAAACAAAATCGATCGATGTAAACCTCAATATCATTTTTATTTACGTGTACTATATGTATACATATACATACACTCGTACATAATATATGTACCGACTCTATTACTGTTACTCTATTGCTCTAAGTTTTTTTAATGTGGAATGTACAGACACACTTTTTTAATGTTTTTGTTGTGTGTATAGATGTACTGACTTACCGTCCGTTTCGAAGTCCACGTTATCGTATATTGGTGCAGCTGTAAAAATGAAAATAATTCAGATTATACTCAGAACTGCAGAACATCAGAACAGACTGCACGTGGTTGGGCAACTGACTGCCGCGGAACGTGTTGCGGGTTCGATTCCGGCATGGAACAATTCTTTATGTGATCCACAGATTGTTGTTCCGGGTCTGGGTGTCGTGTGTATGTGAACTTGTATGTTTCTAAACGCACCCACGACATAGGAGAATATACTTATGTTAAAAAAAATATAAGTCTCAGAATATGGAACTGCTCCATCTTAAAACTATTTGGTCATTATTTTATATAATTACTTACCGTCCTTTTCGGAGTCCACGTTGTCGTATATCGGTGAAGCTGTAGAAATGGAATAAACTATGATTGTACTTAGAACTACAAGTCTTACATGGAACTTTTCCATATTTAAACAAATTGGTAACATTTCGACTGTTCACTTATTTGAAGCACTCACACACTGAAAACATTTTAACATATTTTCTCCACGCGTTTTAACGGCATCTGGACATCAAAATCAATCGACGACGTAAGATTGAAATGTAAAACGGTACTGTTCTATAACTCAATAGATTTCCAATAAGTAGAGCAATTTAAACTCAAGATATAAATAGTTATAGTATCTATAAACTGTCATGGATAGTGCTATTTATAACTTATTAGAACCCTTGAGGCAAAATCAACTATACAGTGCAACAGTGCAACCGACCTTCATCGAATAGACTGATGATTTGATAATGAAACTGCTTGCCGAACATAGAGATAATGGGAGATTTTTTGTAAAGGAGGCCCATAATAACCCCCAAATAAAACCAGTAGATGAATAGTTTGTTTGTTTCAACACGCTAATCTCCAGAACTACTAGTCCGAATTTGATAATTATTTTTGTGTTGGGAAGTCCTTTTATCGAGAAAGGCTTATTATAGGCTACATAACAACACGTTACGATCAATAGGAGCCGAGAGCAGAGCGGGTGGAACAGTGCCGAAGTTCCTAGTGAGATAAAAGATAAGTAAGTATAGTATAGAAAATATAGACAAAGTGAAGATTTGATAAACCAATAGACCTTCTATTTAATATCTACTTGGTAGTGTAGTGTAGTGTACATAGATATAATAAACTAGTTCTGTAGGCAGTAGTAGTTTTTTAATTAGCCGGTAAACAAATAGACGGGTCACCTGATGATAAAAGCAATCGGGGTCGCCCATGGACACCTGGCACACCAGAGGCGTTACCAGCCTTTTGGCACAGTAAACATTTATACTGTGCTTTTGGGATTAGGAATTTTAGGATTATTGGGGATTTAGGGATTGGTGAAAGGACGGGGAAAGTAATCGGGCCTCCGGTAGTAATGTAGCCGACCCACATCAACAAATAAATAGTTATATTATTAATGTAATCACACATTTAATTTCACTTTTAACATTTAAGATCTTGTTTGGGTATTAATACAACTAATAATTTATTTGTCAATCACATGTAAACGCTATCTCGTCGATATTCTCAATCAACATAACTTCATTATCGTCGTTTTCTTCACAATACATTTTGTTTAGTTTCAATATATCGCTTTCTGATAATCCCATCCTCTGGCCAATAGTAACATTTTCCTGTAATTTACAAAAGTACATAATTAGTACGTAATTTTATTAAGAAACGATATCTTGTGTTAAGGTAGGTATTTGTGTAATCTCTGTGTAACTCTTATTCAGGCATAACGAAAATAACAAAATACACATTACCTTAATTAAATATTAAATGTATTGAGTAATTATTAATGACATGACAATATGCATGCATGAAAAGATTGATGACTGTTGATGAAGCGAAAGATGGGAACTTAGGAATCGTAGTAATTGGCGTTCCATAGTCTCTGCCTGCCCCTATGGGAGACAGGCGTGAAGTTATGTATGTATTTATGTACATAACAATAATAAACACAATGCATGACGAACATAGTATATTAGTTATCCATATAAAATAGACTTTAATCGATCTTCGATCTGATGAGGGGAATGTAATCTTACCTTTAATGGGACAATGGTGTTGTTGCCATTCACAGAGAATGCTTTCTCTGTGTAGTGCATTACACTGTTGTAATCATAAGGGACTCCAAAGTCAGTCACAGTGTCATTGCTGTATTTTGCGAAATTGTGTTCGTGACCTGTAAGCATAACAAGTTACAACATTACTCTAATTGTACAGTTTATTGAATGAAATAAATACTTACCTAGACCTTGCCTAATTTTTTATCTCAAAAACATTTCAATTGCTGGTAGATAGCAATTAGCAATGAAGAATAATCAAACTTGTATTTTTTACCAAAACTTTACGACCCAACAACTCACCAGGTTTTATATTTTCCCATAGAATAGTCACAAAATCGTCTCTATCATAAGTACTTTGCATGTGATAGAATCCAATAGTATGCAGCATCTCATGTACCACAGTACCGTGTTTGAAGCAACCCTTGGCTAGATTCAGTACTTGATGAATTTCGCCTTCGTCGTTAGGGGTGCTAAGTCCCACGCTTGAAAAACATCCACCTTTTGTACCCTGAAACAAGTAAAAGATGTTAAGTTTACTCATAAAAAATCGTCTTTAGCTCTTGTTTTCACTAGTTTATATTCATTTTTCTTCAGGTATCTGTCTATTTTGTAGATACAATGATACAATGGTTCAATAGGCTCACCCCCTATTACATGGGACTCATAACATAAATAGTGAAAAGTGGGTGCTGCTTCTGTGTGCACCTCTGCCTACCCTTTCGGGGATAAAAGGCGTGATGTTAAGTTATGTTACAATGATACACATTTACTGCAAAACGTAACTCGACTATCATTGTGTAGAGTTTAGTATGTATACTTTTTTTTAAGGGGGGAGAATCATCGAATTACTGCTCCCGCCTGGGTGAGGCGGGAGTGTGTCAGACTCTTACTGACTAAACACTACCCCATTCCTTCTCCTGCACTTCGAGTCGGAGCCTTGGTAACCCGTTATGTTCTCTGCGACTAGTATGTACAGGTACTAGTACCAGTACCAGTAGCTGTATACTGTTCAGTACCGCCGGGGCAGTATCGAAACCAGGTAATTTATAACAGTACTTACATTATATCATACGTTAAAATAGCAAGGCGCCTAATAAAGAAAGATGTTTACTTGTATAATCACTGCATGTTCATCCTCCTTTTCTCTAGGTCGGAATGAGATACACGAATGATTCGCTATGTCAGCTAGAGCATCTTCAATTTTTTGCACATGTTCTTCATCTGTGGCAGAGAATAATAAAATTAAGTTTCAGAGAATTTAAAAATGTAAGCTACTGTAATAACTAGTAGTAATAAGTAATAAGCTTGTTACGTATCGGTGTCGACACATGTACCTAAACCGTGATCAACGCCGTGTCAGCAGGCCCAGATCTGCTGAATCAGGACATTACACCTACTTTGATGCAACGAAGGTTCTACGGAGTATCATCGTTCACCCCACTAGATTTAACCTCAATAAAACCGTCATACTAATTTTACAATAAAGAATTTTAAGAGAAGAAAGCAGTGTCGTTCTAACATCAAACGCATTCGCTTTTGGGTTAATTAGATTTTAGGAGTTAACATGTACCTAATTTTAATTACACTTTAAATTTAAACTTAGTTTAATGATTATAGTTTTCATTTGCACCCTCTGTCGGTGGCAGAAACATAACTAGCTAGTAATTAACATACTGTTATTGTTTACTCAGTTGTAGGTAGAGCACAAGGTAAGTGAAATCTTACAGTTTGAACTCTGAACCAACACGTCATAATGGACAAAAAGTTAAGCATGTTGAAACTATTGAATAGGTGCCTAAGTAGGTACTTGTTGTTACTACAATTGCCATGAACTTGCCCCTAAGAATTCGTGCTGAGTTCAAGGCAACTTCAAGCAGTTGCGATGAATATTGACAGATTGGAGATTTTTAACGACTTTCAATTCAAACGAATATTGAGGAAAAGTAGAAGAGACGTAATATGACAATACCTATACATATGACAATATAGGTACGTAGAAGACGCAATAATACATATAGACAAAAATATGTAGACGGTAGTTGAAGATATGACTCTGTCGGTCGGTAGTATGTAGGTAGCCAGAATATTTAAGTTGATACTGTTAACAAACTATGTTAAGGTTGTATTTGTCTAGTTAGAATAGTTCTTAAAACGCAGTTACAACTAAGCGATAGCCTTTCCTGCAACTTAGCCTTTTAGATTATTTCATTAATTTTCATAGTAAGACTTGTCAGATCTATAGATCCTTTTTATAAAACTTATCGAGCAAACACGTGACTTATTTCCTGGTGCCATTGACAGAAATTACAGATGTGGCTATCCCCTTCTTGAGAGCTCACACGGGTAAAGACCCAGATATCTACAAATGCAAGGACGTTGAAAGAAAGGCGGATTCAGTCTCTTGAAATAACGACTGTGGCACCTAGTTACTATAGACTTACACGCGGAACATACACACATTGACACGAAGGACATCTGTCATTTTCGTAAGTCTGGTAACGTGGTACCCATCTCACACTCTCACACGCACACATGAATATCCCACTAACATTTTGGTGCTTCTTCAAACATCTATAAGTGACATTACGTCCGCCTTTTTCAACATCCTTGTACGGATGAGATTCAAATAAGCACTCTGTTCCTAAAAGAACTGTTTTATTTGATACAGTCTTGGACTGCAGGTATATTGCATGTGTGGAATTGCGCGACGCGATGCCCTAGCTGTTAGCTGGGTAGCTATAATATTGTTCAGGCAATCAATACGCTAATCGGGTGTAGGCGTTTCCACTATAGGTACGAACGTAGAACAAAGGATATGTTTGTCTATCAATTAATATTGCACAATCATTTGTGTGTTGTTGTAATTATTGCACCTTGTGAGATTAGTGTGTAAATATTGAAACCGATGTGCGTTTGTACTATAATTATAATTTGTGATTTTATTATTAAGTTTTAGATTATTACAGTTAGGTACCTTAACTAATTGATCTTTGATGTGCTTCATTAAATCTTGCATGCACTTTAAAAGGAATTGTGACTTCTGAGTTTGTTTTTGTGCACTTTAAAAGGGACTGTGACCTCTGAATTGTGTTTCTTTTCAGGGTGATTATCCGTAGGAAATAGCCGCCTCATATAACTTGGTCGAAGTAAAAGCGTTAATGTTATTAGAAATAAACAATAATTTTATTCCTTAGGCTTATTATTTTTGCTGTTAACGACACATATTGCCCATATAATTATATCACCTGACATCCTAAGTGACAATTATTCCGATGACTGTACCACACTCGATGCATACACTTCATCGCTGTTAGAAGTGAGTACATTAGTGAGATAAATTCTTAATTTTGATTTTGATAACATATAGGTACGTAGGACACAATAGAAACGCCTCATACTCTTCATTTTATTGATATAGGTCTATACCTATACAACCTATACTATACTATTATAGTCATTGTTTTTGTAAGCCGGTACCTATGTATCTACTACGTGATCAGTGTCATGGCAACGTTAACCACTTAACATTCGCATCAGAAGTTGTGAGTAACGGAGTTGTTACCCACTGTGTAACTGTCATGGTGATATTTTGAGGAATTACTAAACTAGATAGCTAACAGGAAGTTAGGATACACTATACAAACCAAAGTCTTCCTCGTTGATGTGATACACGACGGTGCGGTTCGGCCAGCGTTTAGCTACATTCCGTAGACCATTGCGACCGTTACCATCTGCTGCTTGCAATATGGCTTCTCGTTGGGCCTTTGACAGCAACATATCACCCTCGAAATACTCTCCATATTCACCTAAAATTGTAAAAGTGCATAGCATGTATTATCTTAATTATTTACATATAGATAAATTATTTACATAATTATTTATAAATAGTTATGCCGTTTTTGATGTAGGTAGGTATTATTGGTACCTCCATGATAATTAGAGACTTAATTTTGATTTTAAAGAGTTTTAAAAACATATTCATGTAGGTAGGTATTATTTATCAATATTTAACGTTATATGATCAGTTCAGCATCGGTGATATAGGTGTCTACAAGTGTTAGTTCTTTAATAGGAAAACATTTATTAAATACCTTTACAGGTGGTACCTACAACGTAAGAGAAAATTTTAATATTATAAATAGATTAAAAATTTTACTGGGCTTGTTATCAACGGTTAAATAAATGTGTCTAATGATGCGTGACTTTTTAAATTGACGCAAGTACCTAAGCGAAACTGATTAATATGGGTGCTAGGTATTTCTGCTCAGCAGGAAAAGGGAGAGACACCAGTGCTTCCACACTAAGAATTACTTACATCAAAAATTCGTTACAATAAATACAAGGTATGTAGACTCTTACATACAGATTGATGGTTATTTGGCTCTGGTGAAATAAGGAGTAGGATTATTATTTTAATATGTAGATATGTAGGTAATTATTCCATATTTTATATTTACCGTCATTTTCGGAGTCCTCATTTTCGGATATCGGTGCAGCTATGGAAATAACTATAATTATACTTAGAACTACAAGTACCGTATGAAACTGTTCCATTTTAAGACTACTCGGTAACATTTCGACTGCGGCACTTATATGAAACACTCACGAACTGAACATCGTAACATTTCTCCTCGCCTTTTTAAATGAGTAGTGCTCCTACTTGTACCTTAACAACGGGACATCACAATCGATCACCTAATTAGATAGTCAGGGTTATCTTTTAACTCGTTTACTTACGAAATAGAGTGGTTTTTATTTCGCCACTCATGTTATCTTTGAAGAACCCTGGCGCGCTCTCATCAGGACATGCATTTCATTGATTACCTACATAGGTACCCACTTAAATAAATGGTGGCTAATAAAAATAAAACGTATAATTCTGAACCCAGGGGAGTTAAAAGGAAACTTAAAAGATAATTTCATAAATTCCCACGGAGTCTGTAACGCCGGGAATTTAATATTTTTTAACCTACTTCCAATAAAAGGAGGAAGTTCTCTACCACGCAGCGCTTAAGTAGCATGGGATACTGTTATTGTACTATAGATAATTTCCTATATTGCCAAATCGTTGTACAGTAAATTTTTGACAGGACAGGGATTGGGCAAATGTCACGCTACATTAGCGTAATCGAGCACACAAACTACAGCGTTGAGTTCGATCTGTGTCGACGGATCAGACGTACACGGCTGCCCATATCTGAGCATTTTTACACAAGACCGTGCTGGTATTCGCTTTATTTAAGGATTTTCTCCTGTCGTGTGTGCGTACAAAAATTCAAATGCACACATCACACAGACCCGTACAAAGATTTGTGTATCACACAATGAGTATTGTTCAGTGCGGAGACCGAACTCGACACACGTTGCACAGAAGCCGTTGCGCAGTTATTGCGCCAACCGTACAATTGAACTACGTTCTGTGGTGTTCTGTGTCGTGGGTGTGCCTATCCTTTATCATAGTCCCTCATTAATAAATCTAAGGATAACAACTGCACGGTTGGCGCGGTGGCTGGGAACTGACTGACGCGTCACGTGTCACTAACGGGTTCGATTCCCGGACGGATCAACTCTGTGTGATCCACAGATTGTTGTTCCGGATCTGGGTGTCATGTGTTTGTGAAATTGTATGTTTGTAAACGCACCCACGACACAGGAACAAGGAAAGGTTTGAAAAGAAAAACTACAACTGTTGTAAATAAAGTGCTATATTTATTTTACAAAATAGTTACAAAAAGAACTTGACACACAAAATTTAACTGTACACACCTGCGGTTCTGATTCTTTTAAAACCAACTAACTCATAAATGTACAATATTGGATAATAATATAAAATAAAAAAAAACTACTTAAAGTAAGAACTGAACTTAAAAAAACGGTCCCAAAAAATACTAATATTAATTCAATTCATAAGATTATGGCAATTGTTTAATTTAACGTAATACTGAACTTGCTAATACAACAAAAATATGTACGCTGTTCACTATATATGTGATCTTTATACTTCTTATGAATATGTTACTAATGTATGTAGGCAATAAATATGAACATTGTGACAAATTATCATTGTGTATTGTAAAATTAAGTCAAGGCTACATTGCTTTACGATTAGAAATCTCACACTAAGTGATTGCATCAAAGTCAAATGATTTTCATAGATAGATAGATAAATAACAAACCTATCCATTGTTATATAGAGTAGCTTTATTTATCAGTCATTTATGGATCAATCAACTTTGATGCAACTCCACTGTTATAAGAAATCCTTTGGTGATAATGGGACATTTTATAATATTTCTCTAATTTACACATCAAATACAGTGAATAATTAATTTAGGCAGTCTTTAATATACTTTAGATAATAATTATATCCGTTAATCGATTCGTATTCAATAAATTCATAATACACTAAATAAATAATAATACCAGATAAAGAATGGTAACGTACTTACGTACCCTACTATAACTTAACTATCAATCAAAATATTTTACATAAAAAATACAATATCAGCACATAATTCTGTAAAGCACTGTAAAACATTCTAAATATTGGTCTAGTTATTATTGCATGGAACGATACCGTTCCTTTTGATTATACGAACTACCTGATCAATGCACAAACATTTATTCTTAATCTGTATTAAAATTGGTATTGCTTGTTTAATTTCTTCCCTATTGTAACACTGACACTTGTTAACTATAGCACGATTAAACATATTGCGCGTAAAATCGCAAGTTGCAACAAACGAGGCAGCTCGGCAACAATCGTGAACGTAAGTAACAACCACGTGCACACGTCAGCAACACTATCATATTGGGGTTTATTACGCTTACTACTAATATTCTTCTAATACAATTGCCTACACGTACAGGACGTCAATAAGACTGAGTAGTAAGTAAGCGGCACTCTACATGATTAGTATCACAAATTGTGCAGCAATTCTAACAACAATTAACTTTATTGCTATTTCACTGAAGACTCGATTGTCTTAAGGCAAATGAAACGTTGATTATAATTATTACACTATTCAAATTTGTCCTACCATAATTTTAAAAATGCGATTACTTGTGAACATGAGATTATCAAGTGAATTTAAATATTTTTCCAAAGATTAATATTTCTAGTTACTCGTAGCTCCATAGCTAGCAGCGTTGTATCTAAATCTTATACATATTACCGTACAATTACGCAAACGCTGAAGAATAATGTAAATAAGTATACATCTCAAAAGTATTTAATTCGTTAGCTTCCTTGCAGGTAGCAACCTATAGGAAAAAGTTTTTGAATATCAAAAATAAAATATGCTTCAAATTCATATGAATACTTTAGGAGCATACACAAAAATATTGCATTCAATTATACTTTCAACAAGAATGAAATGGCATTGTCGCGTTAGATCTGTCTACGCGTTTATTTTTCACAAAAATAGAGATCGGTCTCATTAGTATATGGACTACTTAACATTAGACGATTGAAATTAAGTATTATTTTAGTATCTCAATATATTCAAAATTCTAAGAGACTCATGTTAGGTAGTATCTTCCATTGACGGTGAATTACGACTTAGTTGCAAGACATTTAATTTCGGTTAACATGTAAATCTCAATTCATGTGTTTAAAACAATCCAATATATTTATTCTTTATTAGTCTTTCTCGCAGTTTTGTACCATTACAGCATTTCTGTAAGTTTCAAGATACGCAATTTTCGCTTAGGTACTTACAAAGTAATTACTCACACTAAGTAGAGAAATGGGACATTTCCATGGTTTCAAGTTTGGCACACATTTAAAAATGATATGTTTGTTATAACGTCTTATTATTTTGGGGGTAATACATGTAATGTACAAAAATATAGTTACTATTTTAAAACTTATTGAATGGTAGTAATGGATTTCATTTCTCACTCTTTCTACGGAAGCCCCTTATAAAAACTTAGTATGGATAGTGCACGTAAACTGTCTACTGCATTATGTCGAAATGTCCCATTTCCTTTTGATGCTTACGCGTTATCATGTTATCCGAACACTGTGAACAATAAATGACTTTAAATATCAATACAATCGAAATGCTTAATATCGACTAAGTCACTATTATCAAACAGTAGTACTTCTAATATTCCTAAGACTTCAAAAAGTTTCCTCTAATTCGATGTATAGAAAGCTAACTTCCGAAGCTGGCTTACTCAATAATGTATATAATGACATCAATGGCAAATACAACAACGAGATGGTTCAAGGACTTTACAACACCCAAGGCGTCGCTCGTTTCATTTTTAGTACACTATGCAAGTCACATGCTGATATGTAATAGACGACAGTTATTCGATTTAAATACTGATAGAAATAATATTTACTCGATTATTATCATTTGTTGCACATGAAAAGCGTTGAAATCGTAAGCGCGCAAACCTCTCAACGTCATCGCATCAACCTTTCCACGCATCACATTCGCACTCGATTCAATCACAGTCGAGAAAATCGCACAATTAATAAATATACTAATATTAATTAGGCCTTTTTAGGACAGATAATCACAATTTCTCTAAATTAATATATCTCCTCGACACTCAAGCGATTCTCATCCTTCTGCATCTTCATATTCTTTGGATTTAACATTTACCTGCAAAATAAAATGGAATCTTTTAGCGTTGGTATAGAGGAGCGAAAGATTCAAGGTGTGACGTTGTTAGGTAAACTCTAGTTGAATACTGACTGCGGAGGCGGTCGCTTGGCCGGCAGTCAGGCGGCGGTCTGCGCGTGCGCGGCGTGGTGGTGCGCGGGGGGGGCGCGGTTGCGTCCGCCGCGCGGCTTGATGCTCTCCGACACTTGCCACATCGCCTCCTCGCTCAGCACATCGTCGAACTCGTTGAACATGGCCAGAATGCGTTCGTTCTTCTTAAACTTATACTGCCTGCTACCGAAATTAACATTATTTTTCTTGTAATCAAATGAAACATTTTCGCTTGAAAATATTTAGAAAATAAAATATACGTATTTTTACAGTTAAACTCTGTATAAGTTTACAATTTTAAATACACGTATATTTATAATAAAAATATAGGGATGTTACGCACTCTTTATGGAATCTCTTCATGTTCTCCATTATTTGGTACTGCTGCCATCTCTTGGTGAAATTAATGCCACCTTCAGGGAGATGATCAGGATTACCGATGTGTACGAAAGTCAGATCTTGAAGGACTAGACCACTGTGAACAATATAAAAATATTACTACTTTTACTCCTGAATGTTAATTGATAAACATCCCGAATGTATAATAACTTACAATATACACAGTTTAGCTCTAATGAATGTTATATAGTCATAACGAAGTTAACAATATGTTAAAAACAGAGATAAATGAACATACATGTATGGTATACAGGGTGGCTGCGTGTCTGCGAGTGCCTGGCGGTAGGTGCGGAAGGAGGAGGACGAGTCGATGATGAGGCAGCACTCGTGCAGCGTGTTCACGATGGAGCTCGGCCAGCCCAGGCGACGCACGGGCGGAGAGTCCAGCGCCGACACCAGCGCCAGGTACGAGTTAAAGTTGTTCATCTTACGGAGTGCCTTCATCACCTTCAGGAATTTACTCGCATACTTCTCTCGCTCTCGGGCCTCCTCCTGTCATTTAATTGTTCCATTAATTACTATAAATATTTTAATTTTAAACTGAATTTCATGATTCAGATAACTTGTTGAGTACTAGCCTGTTCCAAAATCCTAGAACGCGC